CTTTACATCAACATCTGTCCACATCATCCTTTACATCGACATCTGTCCACATCATCCTTTATGTCGACATCTGTTCACAGCATCCTTTACATCGACATCTGTCCACGACATCGTTTACATCGACATCTGTCCACGACATCCTTTACATCAACATCTGTCTACAGTAGCCTTTACATCAACATCTATCTACAGCATTCTTTACATCAACATCTGACTACAGCATCCTTTACATCGACATCTGTCCACAGCATCCTTTACATCGACATTTGTCCACTGCATCCTTTTCATCAATATCTGTCAACAGCATCTTTTACATTAACATCTGTCCACTGCATCCTTTACATCGACATCTGTCTACAGCATCCTTTACATTGACATCTGTCTACAGCATCCTTTACATCAACATCTGTTCACAGCATGCTTTACATCAAAATCTGTTCTCAGCATCCTTTACATCAACATCTGTTCTCAGCATCCTTTACTTCGCGTGGCTGGTCGCTTGAAAATTGGTCACTGAATAATGATTTAAGAATCAATGCTGTGGCATACAAAACATAATATCCAAAGTCCACAGTAAATGTCTTGAGACAGAGATACTGACTGCGTAGACTGCTTGTACACGGGTGGTACAATTAATCTCACATATTCTTTCCTGCAGTAACCACACATCTTCACACACATTGTTCGTTTACCATGGTATCTAGTCAACATAGGCGTGTGCTCTAACCACTTTTGTTTAACATTTATATAGACAGAATATCTTAAGAGCAAACAGAAAACATAAATGGTTATAACCCATGAGGAAATACACACATCTGATGAAGTAACTGACACACCCACATTAAACGAACTACTATTTGCTGACGACCAGTGCTTGCTGATGAAGGAACTGACACACCCACATTAAACGAACTACTATTTGCTGACGACCAGTGCTTGTTCTACCCTGAAGAATATCGACTGCAAGACCACATTAATATGTTAAACTTAGAATTCAGTAAATACATCATGGAGATCAATGCAAATAAAACCGAACCAATGCAAGTTAGTAGAACCCCTGGCCCACTATCTGATGAAGTAACTGACACACCCACATTAAACGAACTACTATTTGCTGACGACCAGTGCTTGCTGATGAAGGAACTGACACACCCACATTAAACGAACTACTATTTGCTGACGACCAGTGCTTGTTCTACCCTGAAGAATATCGACTGCAAGACCACATTAATATGTTAAACTTAGCATGCAGTAAATACAACATGGAGATCAATGCAAATAAAACCGAGCCAATGCAAGTTAGTAGAACCCATGGCCCACTACACACATAGCTGCTTGGTTCTGCCCTGAATCAAGTTAGGGAGTTTAAATATCTAGGAAGTATGATCACAGAAGATGGTAGAATTGACAGAGAAATAGAATCCAGGTGTCAGAAAGCAAGTGCACGTATATACCCATTATCACCATTATTAATACATCCAAACATGAGTGCAAAGGGACAGATTATAAACAGCATAGTAATTCCACCATTAGGCTACCAGTGCCAAACATGGACACTGTCTTAAGCCCACATACCCAAAATCACCACTTGCGAAATGAGATGCCTGAGACAAGTGGCCAGTTTAACCATCCAAGATGGAGCGAATAAGGATACTATCACACAAACTGTGAGAACGACACATTGTACTAGATTCATCAAGAAACAGCAGATTGAGTTGTTTAGCCATCTTTTTAGAATGCAGCAAGATCAAATAATATCACAAGGATTACATCTCTGCTTCAAGAGCACAGCCGCAAACAAATGGATCGACAACATTAAAGACACAACGATTTCACGGCAAGACAATAGCCAGCGGCAGCCAGCGTGCATTGGATCGCAAATTATTCCTCGTCACGCCACCTAACGGCAGAAAAGGTTAATAAGGATAATGAACATGGTATGTTCCATCAGCAGTCTCCAATGAAGGATTCTCAGAAATATCAGACTCAAAGGTTTTCCCAGGTGACGATGTCTGATTGTCTGGGACAAACCTTTCATTTTGCCCTGCAAGTAACGGTCACCGGTGCAATGTAAACCTCTTCAAGAATGGCTGGGTTGTATACAATGACGTGTCATGACTTGTTCAACCTGTAAATAACACTTTCATCTGTGAAAGAGACAAGGGTTGACAGCCTTTTGTCATGACATGGAGGCTAGGGGTTGGGGTGGGGTGTCGCCACAAGAACTGTTACCTGCTGTCGAAAATCGCAGATTGTGCAGAAGAATGATTACCCAAACCACCCGACAAGGCAATGATGATGATGATGATGATGAAGCATCACTTGGGACAAATAATACAGTTAAATTATCAAGGATCATGCTGCTTCAACTATCACCACCATCACAACAACTTCTCTTTCTCCTTCTCCTACTACTACCACCACCACCACCACTACTACTACTACTAATATTGCTGCTGCTGCTACTTAACATTACAGAAGGTGTCAAAGTGCAGTTAAGTTAAACCAAGCACGAGCAGAATCATGTTAAATAACCTCTGCGAACAAGCCGTGCCTTAATGGCGAACCCTCGGTTCATCAGCACTGGATTTTGCACTGGGGGATCAAGGAGAGAACCTGTGTGACCTGTTACCCCAGGCGGGGGGAGGGGGCGGGGGGGGGGGGGGGGTCATTGTTTTACTTTGAGAAAAAGAACAGTTCTCGTACTTGTCGAGTTATTTTGTGGTATAAACGAGTGTCGTCAAGTGGCCATATTTTTTCCCAGTCTTATCTATCATCTAAGCCACCTTTTAAAGCACAAATGACTTCTAGAACATTCGTGTCACGGAGCAAAATATCACAAGTCGAATGCGTCTGACTTTCATCGATCAACCAATCCGTCAACAAACATGTCTTATCGTGTTTTATTGCTCTCTCGCTCTCTCTCTCTCTCTCTCTCTCTCTCTCTCTCTCTCTCTCTCTCTCTCTCTCTCTCTCTCTCTCTCTGATAGTTGTCTCAATGTATAAATGGCATCCGTGCAACCTCTGTTTCGTCGAAAGCCCATCTGTGCTTCTGAAAGTTGATACTTTAACAACAAGACATAACTAACAAGTCATCAAAGAACAACGAATGAAATGGTTTGAACACCTAACAAGAATGCCCTGGTACTATCCGCCACAGCGAGCCACACTGAAACGTTACAACGGGTATAGAGCGAGTGGAAGGCCTCGGAACATATGGAGTGATGGCATTAAGAACAGCCTTACAGAAATGAACATCAGTCTTAATGGTGCTCTTGACAGAGCTCATCAACGAATGTTGCATCTCCCCCAGACACTTCGCTGAGGTACAAGGTGGAAGAGAAAAAGAAGAAGAACCAGTCCGTGGTAATACTGATAAATAGAAAGCCATCCTCCCCAACCCCTAACTTCTGTAAGCAAAACATCGAGACGGAAGGTTACCATGGGAGAGGTCTAACATAATGAAGGGAAACTGCCATGTTGGGGTTTTCAAGTACTGATTCTTCAACATGACTACATCGGATACATTTTTGTGAACGAGACACAAACCTGGTTCCGCCATTATATACTGAATGCGCTAAGAGAGTTAAGACGTTTGCGTGAACCAACTGAGAACTGTGAATCTGCAACCATGGTCAGACTGCAAGAACAACATGTTAAACGGGGTGTCGCCAAACAAGAACACTACGCGGGTAGATAAAGAAAAATATAAACCAACACAGAGCTGGTGTCGTTAGCCGCTACACGCTGCGGGATTTACTGAGGATGGGATCCAAGCACTTATGGACTGAGTGGTTCGACGTGCAATGGGGATAATATGTCGACTAACTAACTAACTAACTAACTAACATCTTATACAGTGACCAGCGAATGAAATAGCTGAGACAGGAGAATTCCCTGCTGAATGTTAAATAGCTGCCGATCTGGCATACCACGAAACATCTTACTGACAAATCAAAAGCACAGACTGACAAATGGAAAACAAAGTGACAAAATTCTAAGAAATGAACTTCGAGTCCAGCAACTAAATATTAGGTCAATCAAGAAACTGTTATGACATCTTTTTATAATATAGAAAATGTTTGTGGGTGGAATAAGTCTGACGCTTGGAATGTGTCGTGGCTTTCTACCGTCACTTGAAATGTACCTTACGTAGACCTTGTGTTACGACGTATCTGCTCTCGCCATGGCTCACTCTCTGGAGGATTAATTCGCACTGCTCTCACGTCTAGGGTTGATAACACCACCCCGCTCAGCTTCCTTGTTCATGCTATCAGTTTATTCTGGTCCATTTATTCGACATGTTCCAACAATTATTTACACTTTCATCGCTTGCGACATATTCAAACACTAGTCATTCGCGCTACATAAAGACTACATCTTCTGCTAACACAGCCGTCTTCTCTGACTTCTGGTCACCAACTGACCACGAGGCTAGCTCTGGCTTTCCCTCGCTTACTCGACTAGCCACAAGTATCTCGTGCCGTCACTTGTAGCACGGACTTTCGGCTTGCCACAATGTCCTCGTGGAGACCATGCAAAGCACCTCATCACAGTGGGATAATAAATAGACTGCAGGCAAAATACTAATTACAATTTTTTTAAGCTTTACACTTTTTTTTTTTGTAAATTGAAAAGTTTAAGAAAAAAATTTAATAAACATGGAAGAAATACGTCTATTAGAAATTATATAAAATTTAATAAATCAACACTTTTTTTAAAATGTTTGGTTTTGTTATCATGAGATTGTCCATAGAATAATTTGTCTGTATGGAAAGGGTAAAGCAATATCTACAAGTTACTTGGCGGCAGTAAGTTAACAGTGAGGACACCCAGTTAGATTGTAGGCCCACGACAAATCTTTATAAAATGACAAGATTTATGCTGATCATATTACTCCTAAAGTCAGGACTAGAAAACTCGATAGGTTATTTTTCTCCCGACATTCCCCTTGCCAGGCTTTCTTTTTCGGGCCGTTAATACAAAAGTTCGTCTTTTCTGCAAATAATGACAACATGACACGCCAATTGTCTGCCTGCGGCACTTTTGTGCATTATAATCCATAGATGAGAGATCCAATGTTTTACAGGCGACAATGTTCCAGTCGCAACGGACAGGGAACACCTTCTGTGTGAGGCCTTAGGGGATTGCAAGGGCCAAAGGTTGAAAAGAGTTGGCTCTTGGGTGGCACAGGCAGAAGTCGCGATCAGAACTGTTTGTGCTACTGACAAGATAGCGTGTGGTGAGGATTTGGTTACACTGCCGCCCAGCAAGTAAGACTTGCACAGAACGAAAGTTACCTTGGAACGAGGATGCCGGGAATGGAGAGTTGGTGAAACAAAGTTAGCAGCACAAGAGTTGAGCAATGACAATTTTGCCCCGAGGTGAGATCATCATATATACAGATGGGTCTGGAGAGATAAGTGGGTGAATTCTATTGCGGAGGCGAATGGACACTGCTCGAAAACAGCCTAGGGGGCTGCGTGGTCTCGAGGTATAATATCCGCCTAGAGTGCTAGAGGGTAGTGAGTTCGGACGCCCGTGCGTATTGTTGCGCACTTTAAAAAATCCATTGGCAGCTGGAAGTCGAAAAGAGTAGCCCGGGCAAAATTTGGAGTCAAAAATCTACCCAAAGTATTTAAGGACCCTGGCCGGTGCTACAGAGCCTGTTCACTGTGCTGAGCTTCTTCGGACTCAGACTTGAGTTAAAGAAGAAGGGAGCACTTAGGGGTTACTACCCGTGTGCCGTAATGTTGATCCGTTGTTCAAAACCTCGAAAACAGCCTTGTGTATAGCGTCATTACATTTAGTATGAGAATGGAGGTGGAGGCAGTAACGGTAGTTTCCCAATGGTTGGAGAACAGCAAAGTCCGATATGTTGTAATTGTAACAGACTCACAGAGCATGCTTGGGACAACTAAAACTGGTGACCTGCCCATAGAGTGGCTTGCACCAGTTGATAAGATCCAGATCAAACGGACATCTGGTATTTTCTATCCAGGATATTCAGGTGTGCGAGGTAACGATCAGGCTAACAGAATAGCTACTGCCGCTCCTCTGGGTGGTGCGCTACTATATAATAAAGCGGATGTGCTAAAGGCTCTTCTATGGGATTAAATGGACAGTACAAACTAGCAGATGGGGAATGCATACACTGATTAGTTTAACAGGGTGGGGAGGGGGTATAGTGGTTCTGGACTTATCATCAGGTGGCAGCTGGTACAATCAGCAAGTCAGCTCTTTGTTGGTTGCTGAAGAAGGGGACGGAGCACATGTGGGAATGTCCCCAGTGCAGTGATGTCAGTTCTTTATTTATCCATTCACTGAGTCTGAAAAGAAAGAGAGAGAGAGAGAGAGAGAGAGAAAAGGAGCTTTCAAATTTTTCTGATTAGAAACAAGATAGTTCTCTGGCTTTCATGCGACATTTTGTATATTTTACAGAAAAGAAACACAGCAACGTGTGTTTAGTGTCATTGACGCATATTTACGATGTGATTTCGGTGGCTTGAACCAGAGCTTGTTTGCAGACGAACTGCTCGAATCCAGCAACTCCACAAAACCGCTCTATAATTGCCTGAAGAACAAAGTAAGTTGAATAACTTTCAGCGATCATATTCAATCCAATGTCTCACACGCGCGCAACTTTCACTTTTATGTACCGTATCTACAACATAGGTTGGCTTCAGTACATCTACTGCTGTCGTTGGCGTATTACGTGGTGATGCCATTATCGCTTCCACGGTGCGACTCTTTTGCTACCCCAAAGGATAACACCAGTTACTACCAGCCAATGTCCCCGAAATAGGAGCTTTAGGTTATAATTGTGACTAGGTTATGTGCGCCCTATAAATTGGCTTATCATTGCACGCCACCAAGAACCCTGAAAAGGACTCCTGCAATGTTAATATAATCAAAGGAGACAGACCCAAATATGTTCTCGAGCTCTGACGAAGTCGTCTACCGGCGACTCAATGGGCGAAGAAAAAAGAAATCATTTGCATTGATAGACAAGCATCTAACAGCGGCCCCAGATGTGACATCCTTGGCCAGATAAAGTTCTGAATCTGGACGTTTGCCTTCAGCAAAGTTCGAAACTGTTTAGAAAAAGAATTTGGCACGTGGCTCTCAGGTCGATGCAGTCTAACCCGGAAAGTTAGAAAAGTCCTGGCATATGAAAGGTTGACAAAATACTGGTTTGGAACCAAATGCCGGTTCTTGGAAATGAGTCTTTGTTATTGCTATAATTATTACTTTTATTATTATTATTATTTGTATCATTATTATAATTTGTATCATTATTATTATTATTTGTATCATTATTATTATTTGTATCATTATTATTATTTGTATCATTATTATTATTCTCGTAAAGTCGATGGTGTTATTTTGGGACAAGTACAGAAATTTAAGTATCTGAGCACATGGATAACATCAGATGGAAGATGCATTAATGAGATAAGAAACAGAATAGGACAGGCAAAAACTGCATTTTATAAAATGAAAAACATCTTGTGCAATATATCCTTGTCATTGAGAGTTAGAAAAAGAATTCTTGCTTGCTACAAACATCCAGTTTTAACATATGGCTGTGAATCCTGGACAATCGGTAGGCAGGCAAAACAATTTCTTGAGGCCTCAGAAATGAGGTTTTACAGAAAAATGCTTAGAATACCTTGGACAGCCAAAAAGAGCAACCAAGAGTTTTTGACAGAGGGTGAAGCTTGAAGACAACTTATCACAGACATCAGAAGGAGACAGTCATCATTTTTCGGCCATGTTATGAAAAGAGGGAAAATGGAACATGTTGTGACCACTGGAAAGATCTGTGGAAGGATGGATAGAGGAAGACAACGAAAGAAGATTCTTGACAGTCTTGTTGCATGGCATAGAGGTGTGTCGGCACACGAACTGATACATGCTGCAGGAGATAGCAGATTATGGAGAGGCATGATCACCCACGCCAGTCAGCAAGGCACCTAATGATGATGAAAGTAAGAAGCCATTTTTACGCCAGGGGCACATCCGGCATATGTCTCCAGACTCGAATTTGTGCAGCCCAATCTGTGATGTATCTAACGTCGCCTTTACTTCCCAGGAAATTACCTAGCAGCCATTTTTATACTTGGTCGATCTGAGAGCTAAGGTCAATCTTGAACAACAACAACAATGATTAGAATTCATTGTTGATTATAATAATAATTACTATTTTTGCAGGAAGTGAGTGGATATACTCACGTAGAGTGTTTTCTCTCCACCTGGTATTCCTGTCACAGACACAAACTGACGCTAATCAAAACTATCCGGTTCCGAGCAGAATGGGCAGAGTATTTCTTGAGACGCCATCACAACCTGAAGATTTTGTATTTGGTGAGGTAAGTGTTCCATTTGGTGAGGTAAGTGTGTCGTCTGGTGGGGTAAGTGTTCCGTTTGGTGAGGTTAGTGTGTCGTCTGGTGGGGTAAGTGTTCAGTTTGGTGAGGTAAGTGTTCAGTTTGGTGGGGTAAGTGTTCAGTATGGTGGGGTAAGTGTTCCATCTGGTGAGGTAAGTGTTCCGTTTGGTGAGGTTAGTGTGTCGTCTGGTGGGGTAAGTGTTCAGTTTGGTGAGGTAAGTGTTCCGTTTGGTGGGGTAAGTGTTCCGTTTGGTGGGGTAAGTGTTCCGTCTGGTGAGGTAAGTGTTCAGTTTAGTGAGGTAAGTGTTCCGTTTGGTGGGGTAAGTGTTCCGTCTGGTGGGGTAAGTGTTCCGTTTGGTGGGGTAAGTGTTCCGTTTGGTGGGGTAAGTGTTCCGTTTGGTGGGGTAAGTGTTCCGTTTGGTGGGGTAAGTGTTCCGTCTGGTGGGGTAAGTGTTCCGTCTGGTGGGGTAAGTGTTCCGTCTGGTGGGGTAAGTGTTCCGTCTGGTGGGGTAAGTGTTCCGTTTGGTGGGGTAAGTGTTCCGTCTGGTGGGGTAAGTGTTCCGTTTAGTGGGGTAAGTGTTCCGTCAGGCGGGGTAAGTGTTCCGTTTGGTGGGGTAAGTGTTCCGTTTGGTGGGGTAAGTGTTCCGTCTGGTGGGGTAAGTGTTCCGTCTGGTGGGGTAAGTGTTCCGTTTGGTGGGGTAAGTGTTCCGTCTGGTGGGGTAAGTGCTCCGTCTGGTGGGGTAAGTGTTCCGTCTGGTGGGGTAAGTGTTCCGTCTGGTGGGGTAAGTGTTCCGTCTGGTGGGGTAAGTGTTCCGTTTGGTGGGGTAAGTGTTCCGTCTGGTGGGGTAAGTGTTCCGTCTTGTGGGGTAAGTGTTCCGTTTGGTGGGGTAAGTGTTCCGTCTGGTGGGGTAAGTGTTCTGTCTTAAATCTTACAGTGAGTACCTGCACCTTTTTCCCCCAGCAGAAATAACACACACACGTACACACACACGTACACACACACAAATATTGTTTCACATTTGTACAGAGATTGTTTTTCTATCGTTCATGCAGAGATGTCCGAGCAGTTCTCCACTCGCAAGCGATACATTTCCAAAACTCCACAAGGAAAGAACAAGCCGCAGAAAACGCAGCCGATTTTTGCCAGAAAGTGTTCAAGGATTCCCAAATTTTCCAACAGCTGAGCTCCAAGTTCCCAGGACGTGTGCAAGGTGTTCGCTACGAGCACGGCTGTCTTGACCCTGAAGGCTACGCCCGCGCCATCTACACATTTGCTGGCCTTAACTTCACCAACATTACCAGGCGATATCTCAAGGAAATAACCAAATCAAACACAACTCAAGAGACGCCTATGAATCCGTACAGTGTTGTCAGGCAGGACTCCTTACAAGCAATGAACAACTGGAGACGTGTAGCGGACTACGATGTTGTGAAAACGATTGACACCATCTGTAGGGACGTCCATTCTTTCTTGGGATACCGACCTGTTCGCTCGCTACAAGACTTAGTATCTGATCAGTGGTTGGTCACGCCTGTTTCTAACGGGCTGTTTCATTGGTTCACTGAAAAACTTACAGTGACAATTAACAACACTTCACATGCAAAAGGATAACCATCTAAACCAAGACACCAAGAACTCAGATTTACACAAGACACCAAGAACTCAGATTTACACAAGACACCAAGAACTCAGATTTACACAAGACACCAAGAACTCAGATTTACACAAGACACCAAGAACTCAGATTTACACAAGACACCAAGAACTCAGATTTACACAAGACACCAAGAACTCAGATTTACACAAGACACCAAGAACTCAGATTTACACAAGACACCAAGAACTCAGATTTACACAAGACACCAAGAACTCAGATTTATACAAGACACCAAGAACTCAGATTTACACAAGACACCAAGAACTCAGATTTACACAAGACACCAAGAACTCAGATTTACACAAGACACCAAGAACTCAGATTTACACAAGACACCAAGAACTCAGATTTACACAAGACACCAAGAACTCAGATTTACACAAGACACCAAGAACTCAGATTTACACAAGACACCAAGAACTCAGATTTACACAAGACACCAAGAACTCAGATTTACACAAGACACCAAGAACTCAGATTTACACAAGACACCAAGAACTTAAATTTACACAAGACACTAAGACATATTTTGTTAAGATATATAGCTTGAAGTCCTTACGTCCTTTTTAGGACGTAATTTTTTGTTATTTGAAGCCCCACTCTGGCTTTTGCCAGGGGCCGCAATATAGGCAGGCCATAAAAGTGGCAAAATGTCTGAACGCGGTTTCTGGGACCTCTCCACAGTGATCCTCATCCACATGGTGGCACGTTGTGTCATCGGGTGTTTATCGCTTGTGTGATGTCCTGGTGGGGTAGAAAGTCACTCACTCACTCACATATTTTGTCTAATATTATGTTACCAGTGTTAAACATGGATTCTTACAAATAATAGGCGGAAAATAAAACAGAGATGAAATTTCTTAGGAGCTGTTGAGAAAATTAATTAGGACCGAAACCGGTGACACGATTCGTTAAGGAAAAATTATTGAGATGGTTTGGTCATATGACTAGAAAAGCCTGGCATTAACAGCCCCAGATAGTCGCGTTTAAGAAAAAAAAAACAGTGAACACAACAAAGACAAAAACCACGGAACATAGATATGGAACAGCTGCAACAAGGACAGTCGTTGAAAAATTATTATTAACATAAAAGCTCATTAGAAAAAACAACTTCATTAACATATCACATCATCAACATTTCACCTCATCAATATCCCACTCCATCAACACCCCATCCCATCAACATCCAACTCTTTCAACATCCAATTCCATCAAAATCCCACCCCATCAAAATCCCACTTCTTCAACATACCACCCCATCAACATCCCACCTCATCAACATCCAACTCCTTCAACATTCTGCCTCATCAATATCTAACTTCTTCAACATCAAATTCCATCAAAATCCCACTCTTTCAACATCCCCTCTTATCAACATCCCCTCTCATCAACATCCCCTCTCATCAACATCCCCTCTCATCAACATCCCCTCTCATCAACATCCCCTCCAATCAACATCCCTCTCATCAACATCCCCTCTCATCAACATCCCCTCTCATCAACATCCCCTCTCATCAACATCCCACCTCAACAAAACTGCACAACATCCCACCCCATCAGGACAATGGGTTTCTAGTCCTATCGACCTCATGAGACACGAGCAAGTCATCAAATGTATTTAAAGTTATGGAGAGAAACACAAACATAAAAATGGCAGATAAATTGTGGCGATTTTCTTATAGTTTAGTGCTGGATTTAATTTCATAACTATCTAATCTGCCTGACTGTGTGACCCGGTTCTGTCGAAGGGAACAAAGTCTCTCAATCCATTGTACTTATAGCCAGGTTTTTGACAGGCCAGTAAATCCATACCTACCGTTTGCATTGTTAGCTTTTTACCGCTGTTAAATCGTGTCTTAATATGTTGCCTTTACTAAGTTAACAATTTTCTCTAGGATTCCATAGTGCCCCATTTATTTGCAGAGCATTCGCCAGCATCACCAAACAATATCTAAAGCAAATAACCAAATCTAACAGAGATGAAGATGACCTGGCCAGTTCGTACACTGTTACCGGTGCTTTATTTATTACCTACCCCAAACAGAGGGAATCCATGGAAATTCCACAGCTGTTTTTGGTGTGGCATATTTCTGTCTGTTGGTGCACAATCGGTTGCTTGTTGATGCGCAATTGGCTGGTGTGCAATACTGGTCATGTTTTCAGATCATTTTGTCATGTGAATGTATTGTGTAGTTGCTATCATATTCGCCTTTCAAAACAAAGGTGTCGCATTCAATCCCTATGGTTTTTGTTTTTTTTGTTTTTTGTGTGTGGTAAATTCTTCTTTTTTTTTTTTTTAAATTAAATGTGATTTTTTTTTAGTAAATGTAAATTGTACACTTTGGCTATGTGAACTTTATGTGCAATCGCAGGAATGTCCAAGTGGGGGTACTGTGGGGGTGGCCCTAAAGCGGGCAACTCATTCTAGATGTATAATGCTGGGTTCACATACGAATTGACAATCACAGCAATTTTAATACGTTAGTTGTGGAAGCACACGTCCCACATGACTTTCATCAATTTCAACAGTGGTATTCTCTCCTCCCGCCGTCAATCACTCCAGGAGTTAATAATAATGTATTGGCACAAACCTGCCGTCAGTAGTTGCTCCATTCCACAGTCGCAGCCGGCGACATGCTCAGCTCTACTTGGAAAATTGAATGCTTGTTCATCTCTTGAGACCAGCAGGAAATAAACAGAATGATCTGTCTGTACCGTAGCCAGCCGCGACCGACCGACCCTTCCCGCCATGCGACAACCCCATCCCATGCTAGTCCATCCAACCGACCCTTCAAGCCATGCAATAATACCATCTTATGGTTGACCGACCGACCTTTCCAGCCATGTGAAAACACCATCCCATGATTGACCGACCGACCCTTCCAGCCATGCGACACCATCCCATGGTTGTCCGACGACACCCTTCCAGCCATGAAACAACACCATCCCATGGTTGTCTGACCAACACCCTTCCAGCCATGTGACAACCCCACCCCATGGTTGTCCGACCAACCCTTCCAGCCATGCGACAACACCCTCTCATGGTTGTCAGCCGACCCTTCCAGCCATGCGACAACGCCATCTCATGGTTGTCTGACCGACCCTTCCAGCCATGTGAAAACACCATCCCATGGTTGACCGACCGACCCTTCCAGCCATGCCACAACACCATTCCATGGTTGACCGACCGACCCTTCCAGCCATGCGACAAAACAATCCCATGGTTGACAGAACGACCCTTCCAGCCATGCCACAATCCCATGGTTTTCCGACCGACCCTTCCAGCCATGCGATAACACCATCTCATGGTTGTCCGACCAACCCTTCCAGCCATGCGATAACACCATCTCATGATTGTCCGACCAACCCTTCCAGCCATGCGATAACACCATCTCATGGTTGTCCGACCAACCCTTCCAGCCATGCGACAACACCATCTCATGGTTGTCCGACCGACCCTTCCAGCCATGCGACAGCACCATCTCATGGTTGTCCGACCGACCCTTCCAGCCATGCGACAGCACCATCTCATGGTTGTCCGACCGACCCTTCCAGCCATGCGACAGCACCATCTCATGGTTGTCCGACCGACCCTTCCAGCCATGCGACAACACCATGCCATGGTTGTTTCTACAACGTACGGCGACTGCTGGAACAGCAAGACGGAAGAGCGCGGCGGCAAACATTGATTGACGAAGACTGCTGCTGCAACAGGACGCGGCGTCACAAGAGGGGCAAACGCGCACCTCTTTTGCGACGGGGGAAAACCCCAACCTTACCACCCTGGAAATTAATTGTCTCTTGTGACGTCATCGTGACATCATGGGTAAGCAACAACAACAAATATAGTACTGTGTTGCCAGGTAGGACTCGTTATATGGATTTTATGTCACCACAATGGAAACCCGGGAACCGCCAGTCCAGTCCACTGTTATGAGGGTGTTATGTATTGGGTTGATTACGTCATCATTTTCAGTGTGTGCATGTGTGTTTGGGCGCCATCACTCTCAGTGTGTGCATGTGTGTTTGGTGCATTCGCTCTCCGTGTGTGTGTTTTTGGACCTGTTGGGAAAAGCGGCGCTCGTTCTCAGTTCGTGACTTTGCCATAAATGGCATTGACCCGTCAGCATTGCTTGACATGATTCGCAGCGCAGACAGCCCAGTCGCCAGCACCTCTCCTCTTCCGCTCGATCGCTAACTCCTCATCCGTGACCCGATTCTCGATAACTAGATACTTGACACCGATTCGCTTGATATTCGGCTGAGTCAGTCTTGACTAGTTATCGTACATTTGGCGTTGCGTGTGAGGTTTTAGCAGCCCGTTTTACGCACCATTTGCAAAACTATTGTCTAGTGAACTGTTCAGGATACTCAATAAGTCTTGCTGACCCTTCAGGGATCTAGCTTGCAGTATATATCGTCACTAACAGCATTTTTTTCCATCATGGGAAAAAATACAGGCTCTAGCCGCCGCACCTAAGTCAAAGAAGACGCCGGTCACACCTAATAACAGTGTCGCAGCTTCTCCACCAGCATCAGAGGAAGGCGCCCCTATCGTGGCACCTTCCTCACCCATCCAAGAGATGCCAGCACCAGAAGTCGCCCCCATCGTGGCGCCAGCACCTGGAGCCTCCCCTATTGTGGAGCCATAACCTAAAGCCGCCCCAGTCGTGGCGCAGAGACTCTCTAGCACCCGCCTACGAAAGCAGCAGCCTGGAGCCCACAGGGGTGACATCATTCAGTGCTCACGCTGCAATAAGGCGTGGCACACCGCCGCGACTTGCCGCAGCAGCCCATCATGCCGATACTGCTCAAAAAGCCATGACTTCAAGGAATCCCTGTTAGCCAAAATCGATATGACATAAACCGGAAATGCAGCAACTGCTCGGGTGCTCACAGCGCGAGGTACCTTAAGGAGTGCAGGAGAGCAATGACAGCTTCCGTCACCAGAGAT